TGTGCATGCATTTTTTATGGGGTTGGGTTTTTGAGGGGAGGTAGGGCGGTTGGTGGTGGTTAGACCCACATATAAGTGAGATCAAATGGGATTTGCCTTTGTCTCACTTAGCGTAACGCCCAGGGGGTCCATGCAAGTCATCGCAAATGGCAGGATTTCCTATACCTCGTGATGCGCATTTTCTGAAATCTCATAATCACACTGCCATATTGGTGTTATTACTCTCACTTTAGCCATGAGGAAACATGGCTCAGTGAGGGTAAGAAATAGGCCCAAGGTTGCTCACCTGGTAAATGGCAGAATCAAAGATCAAAACCAGACCCATTTAAAATGCCTTGCTCTAGGGGCGCCTAGGTGGCTCAGTGGGTTAAAGCCTCTGCCTTCAGCTCAGGTCATGATCCCAGGGTCCTGGGATCAAGCCCCGCATTGGACTCTCTGCTCAGCAGGGAGCCTGCTTCCACCGCTCCTCTGCCTGCCTCTCTGACCGCTAGTGATCTCTCTCTCTGTCAAATAAATAAAATCTTAAAAAAAAAAAAAAAGCCCTGCTCTTAAACCCATTCGAACAGAATTGATGTGGGAAATGGCTTCCATGTAGTAGGAGTGCAGCTTGAATTAGAGCTGAAAGGAGTTCAGGGAGCCAAAGGCAACACCGTCATTTGGCCCTTTTGGTTCGCATCCTGGGGTCTTTTCCTCTTATTTTGATAAAAGCCTTTTTCCTCTTCTTCACTTTAACTGTTGTCCATTCCGATTTTAGAAATATAGTTCCTGTAGTAAAGACACTGAGGGCCGGGATTCTTCTGTCCTTTCCTCCTTGCATGTTGATACAGCGGATTCTCATCTATAGCTCCGCATCTAATGCTGGCACTATGGGTTACAGGACATGAGCCAGAGAAGGAAGAACATTCTGTATTGATGTCTTAGTCAGAACATAAAATTATTATCTGTGGCCCCTGCCATTATATGCTAGCCTTCCCCACACCTTCAGTGTTTCTGTTTTTCAGTGTTTCCTCTTCCTGGGATTCCAGTCTTTGAAAAGTTAATGCCTAAAAGACATGAGATTTTTCGTAGGGTCATCTGTACAGTTGTACATTTAAAATTTTTGTCTTCTAATGGTAAAAACACATATGTGACGCTTAAACTCTATATCCTCCAAGGAATAAAAGACCTTGAGGGAAATGAGAGCTCATGCTAACCTTAAAAAAAAAAAAAAAAAATCTTGGATCTACATTTTTGTGATCTGACTCTCCTGAATAATGGAAAGATCTATTCAAGAAAATCCTATTTTTAGCAGTAAAACCAAGTCTGATTAAGACTATGTCTTCTTTTAAAGGGCACCATCATATACTGCTGGTTGCATTTTAAAATGGTGCCCATTTGGACGGTAGTTTGGAATAGAATTTAAGAAGGTCTTGCTAACTCATGGCTTACTCATGCTACCTCTGGGAATCTGTCCCAAGGAAAGAATTCTAAATAGAAAGAGGCTTTTTGTATAAAGATTTTTCAAAGTAGAATATTTATCAGTGAAAAAAACTTATAAACCTACATAGCAAAAAAGGTGAATGGTTGGAAGAATTTTTAAGTGGTAGATTTAAAAAGCATATCACATAAATAGTATATTACTTTAAACACTGGATAAAAGTGAAATATGATTGTAGGTGTGGGAGTAAAATCTATTATATTTAAAGAAGTTTCAAGAAAAAATGGAAGCACCATCACTTTATCAGGGATTGGGTTTGACAAAAATAGACTCAAAATGGATGAAAGACTTAAATGTGAGACAGGAACCTGTCAAAATCCTAGAGGAGAACACAGGCAGCAACCTCTGTGACTTCAGGCGCAGCAGCTTCTTGCTAGACACGTCTCCAGAGGCAAGGGAAACAAAGGCAAAAATGAACTATTGGGACTTTATCATGATAAAAAGCTTTTGCACAGCAAAGGGGAAATAGTTGAGAAAACCAAAGACAATCAACAAATGGGTAAAGTTATTTGCAAATGTCTTTACAGGTAAAGGGTTAGTATCCAAAAATCTGTAAAGAACTTATTAAACTCAACACCCAAAGAACAAATAATCCAGTCAAGAAATGGGCAGAGGACATGAACAGACATTTCTGCAAAGAAGACATCCAAGTGGCCAACAGACACATGAAAAAGTGCTCCACATCACTCGGCATCAGGGAAATACAAATCAAAACCACAGTGAGATACCACCTCACACCAGTCAGAATGGCTAAAACTAAGTCAGGAAACGACAGATGTTGGTGAGGATGTGGAGAAAGGGGAACCCTTTTACAGCGTTGGTGGGAAAGCAAGCCAGTGCAGCCACTCTGCAAAACAGTATGGAGGTTCCTCAAAAACTTAAAAATAAAGCTACCCTATGACCCAGCAATTGTACTACTAGGTATTTACCCCAAATGTAGTGATCCGAAGAGGCACCTGCTCTCCAGTGATTATAGCAGCAACGTCCACAATAGCCAAACTATGGAAAGAGCCCAGATGTCCATTGACATGAATGGATAGATGATGTGTTATCTATATACAGTGGAATACTATTCAGCCATCAAAAAATGAAATCTTGTCATTTGCAACAACGTGGTTGGAACTGGAGGGTATTGAGTGAAATAAGTCAATCAGAGAAAGATAACTATATGATCTCATGTTGAATTTAAGAAACAAAACTAGGATCAGAGGGGAATGGAGGGAAAAATAAAACAAGATGAAACCAGAGAGGGAGACAAACCATAATAGACTCTTAATCATAGGAAACAAACCGAGGCCTGCTGGAGGGGAAGGAGGATGGGAAGGTGGGTTAACTGGGTGATGGACATTAAGGAGGGCATGTGATGTAATGAACACTAGGTTTTATATAAGAGTGATGAATATCACTGATCTCTACCTCTGAAACTAATAATACACTATATTTTAGTTAATTGGATTTAAAATTTTAAAAATAACAATTTTTAAAAAAGGATTGTGTTTCAGTGGTAGAATCTTATTTTATTTTTAAATATTTTATTTATTTATTTGACAGACAGAGATCACAAGTAGGCAGAGAGGCAGGCAGAGAGGAGGAAGCAGGCTCCCCGCTGAGCAGAGAGCCCGATGCGGGGCTCGATCCCAAGACCCTAGGATCATGACCTGAGCCGAAGGCAGAGGCTTTAACCCACTGAGCCACCCAGGTGCTCCTCAGTGGTAGAATTTTAAAAAAAGGATTGTGTTTCAGTGGTAGAATTATGGGCTTTTTAAAAAGTCTCTATTTCCGGGCTCCAGGGTAGCTCAGTTGGTTAAACATCTGCCTCAGGTCATGATATTAGGGTCCTGGGATCAAGTCCCTCCTTGCTCAGCAGGGAGCCTGCTTCTCCCTCTGCCTGCCACTCCCCCTTCTTGTGTACACACTCCCTCTTTGTCTGACAAATAAATAAATAAAATCTTTTCTTTTTTTAAGATTTTATTCATTTATTTGACAGACAGCACAGGTAGGCGGAGAGGCAGGCAGAGAGAGAAGAAGGGAAGCAGGCTCCTCGCTGAGCAGAGAGCCTGATGTGGGGCTTGATCCCAGGACCCTGGAATCACGACCTGAGCCGAAGTCAGAGACTTTAACCCACTGAGCCACCCAGGCGCCCCAATAAAATCTTTTTTTTTTTTAAGTCCCTATTTCCATTTAAGGAAAAAAGCACCATTGTCATTAAAGATCATAGTGGTTACCAAGAATCAAATTTCCTGTAGTATGTCCCCTTTATGTCTACTGTGCTCTTATCCAGAATGTGGTAGCCTTTCTCAGTCTGCATATTGTGGATGGATCTGATTTCATGGCTCTTAGCTTGGTCCTCAACCCAGACAACAGTCCCATGGGACCGATTAACTGTGGAAAATTTGGAAATAAAGAGGGGCTCTTATTCCAAATCCCCATTTTTCAACCCTGACAAGCCAGGCCAAAGAAGAGCTCCTTCAATAGGGAGAAACTACTCGGAAAATGTCCACATGTCCACAATGTAAAGAAACACAATGCCAGTTAAACAACACCTCTTTTCACCGTTTCTGTGCTTACCTGTTTTTTCACCTTGTATATAAATAGGAATTGCCTAGACAGAGGACAAATACTTAACCTGTGAATTTGCAAAGCGTCAAATAATGAAGGATGGCTTCATTCATGTGACCATCTTCAATGGCTGATGGAACTCAAGGAGGAAGACTCATAGAATTAAAGGTCATTTATGTGCACCTGGGTGGCTCCGTTGATTAGGTGGCCAACTCTTGGTTTTGACTCAGGTCATGATTTCAGGGTTGTGAGATCAAGCCCTGCGTCAGGCTCTGCACTCAGTGCGGAGTCTGCTTGAGACTCTCTCCTCTCCTTGTGCCCCTCCCTGCAGCTCTCTCTCTCTCTCTCAAATGAATAAGTCTTTAAAAAAAAAAAAATTTAAAGGTCATCAATTTCATAATTCCCTGCAACCATGAATTAGACATATTCTCTGGCTATTTTTTCACCCCAGACGCTGTACTTCCTAGAATTATGTCATGAATTATTCATTAAAGTAGCTGTTTGGGGGTGGGAGTGGCAGTTACTAGGTCTTTTTTTCACTGAGCCCAAAGAAGAAGGAGCATTTTATTCTTCTGTGTGTATCTACTGATTTCCAGTGGCTACAGGCTGTTACATTGTAAACACATATTTCTGGACTTCATCTTCACCTTCATTACTTTTCGTGCCTTCAAAGAGAGCAGTGGCCTTTCCCTGGTTCAGAGATGGGTGGTTTGCGGCGCAGAGCGCAAAGATTTCCCACACCGTGAATACAAACGGGCTATTTTGTGATAAAGGACACAGGTGGAAGAAAACTACACCAGCAGATATTTGGTGTATGCTAGTTGGTATCATGGGGGAGAAAAAAGGAGGAGCTCGGTTGTTTTTATATATATGTATATGTGTGTGTATGTATATATATATATATATATATATATATATATATATATAATTTTTTTACCTTTTTCTCCCTTTCTTTTCCTCTTAGACAAAGCCCGTTGCATTTGCTGTTCGGACAAATGTCAGCTATAGTGCAATCCACGAAGATGATGTCCCGGTGCCAGGCATGGCCATCTCCTTCGAAGCAAAAGATTTTCTGCATGTTAAAGAAGTAAGGAAAAGGATTTGAATTTCTACCTGCATTAAGTTTTCACCTCGAGACATCGTTTCTTCGCTCTTATTGCTGTGACATAGCATGGCGTGCCCCCCTCCCCCCAACTTGTGTAACACCTGCAGATACAATACCGCTTAACCTTTTCTAATATAAATGTAAACTTTTTAAAGAAGAAAGAACTCACAGGCATCTTGCACTAACTTCAGGGCTCCCCTGGGCTCTGTGACCCAGAAATTGGGAATTACTAGACTAGATGATCCTTTTTTATGCATAACCTGTGCTCTTTCTTTTTAATTTTTAACCTTGGCTGCTCACGTCTATCACAAGTTTAACCATCTGGGGAGGGTTAATAATACCTAGAGCTCATGATCTCGCCTCTCTGCTGACAATGCCTGAACGCAGACCACAATGCCTGGGCCCTCCTTGGGTGGTAAATGTCTGCAGTGGAAGGGAGAATGTAGGCATTGGAGCCACTGAGGCAAGGAGTAGCGAGCAGGACATTCCCTTTATCTCCATGTGGAAAGTCTCCACCTGTCAGTAAACAATGACTCATATCCATCCACTGGAAAAATACACCCTTAATTAAGGTTGATTTTGGATCAGCATTTATCAAATGCCTGCTGTGCAGAACATGGTATGAAAAGAGCAGAAATTCCCCCTGAATGATGTTCGCGGTGTGTGAGTATGAGGTTTCCTTGGACCTGCAGGAATGAGAATTGGAGCATCTTGCACCTGAGGGATGATATGGCACGAAGAGCGTATGTAAATTTCAGGGCTCCCTGTGATGCGGGCTCTAAGTAAAGGAGATGATGACTGCCAGTTAGAAGAGCTTAGGGTAGACTCACATAACAAAAATTTATTAAAAAATAAAGCCATCCTCTAAAACTGGTAAAGAGGTAGAAAGGTACAGTTTTGACTCAAAAATGTTTTTATGTATGTAGGAAAAGAAAAGCCTGGAGAATTTATTATTTTTTGAGCATTTTATTTATTTATTAGAGAGAGAGACCAGGAGCAGGGAGTTGGGGAGAGGGAGCAAGGGCAGAGGCAGAGGGAGTAGCAGATGCCCCCCCCTCCCCCCGAACAGGGAGCCCGATGTGGGACTCAATCATGACCTGAGCCGAAGGCAGACACTTAACCAACTGAGCCACCCAGGCACCAAGCCTAGAGAATATAGAGCCTACCATTTTATTAACTTTTAGAAAGAGATATGAATACTGGGTGGGAAGGAAAGAGAGAAAATGTTGTCAGAATTAATGACATGCCTGGAATCAGACTTTACAACAGGAAGTTAGGTTAATCCATGGTCCCCTAATCCGTGGTCCCCTAACCGTGATCTGCTTAAAGAGAGATCTCTGTTCTACCGTGGAAGAAAAAGAAAAACAGAGTGGCCCATCTTTGAAATGTTCAAGAACAGACTAGAAAGCTACCAGTCAACTGAGAGAAGTGAGACCAAATCGTAAAGACTTAGGATAAATATTCCATCGGCAGGAGAGAAATTGTCAGTGTCCACATGAGTGGAGAACTCCTCTGTGAACCCCGTGCCACGGGAATTAGAAGCCTGTTTGCACAGAAGGGCATTTTGCTCTGACACAAGATATTTCAGGTAGATTTCAGTGTTTCTCGACCACTCTTAGTATTTTTAAGTAATCTGATTATGGAAGAGGCGTCTGTCACCCTCCCTCATTCCTAATGGTCTCTTGGTAGGAAGGAACCAGGGGAGGTGATCCTATAAGAGCCTCGCTGGAATTCAGGCTAGTCTCAAAGCAGTAGCAGGAAAGAGAAGGAAGGGTCCAGCCTGCCTTCTGAGATCGCTGAGCTCACTGACAATACTTCCCTCGTACGTGCTCAACCATGAAACCAGTAGAGTTTCTTCAGTTGTGATGTTGAGGCGTAGTTTACCGTAATTGCCATAATACCCTCTCCACCGAAAACAGTTAACGTAGACATAAACAGTAACAGAGACATAAAACAGTTAACATATTCTGTGCACTGATGGCAAACAAATTTGATTTTGTGTTTAGAAATTTAACAATGACTGGTGGATAGGGCGATTGGTGAAAGAAGGCTGTGAAATCGGATTCATCCCAAGCCCAGTGAAACTAGAAAATATGAGGCTGCAGCATGAACAGAGAGCCAAGCAAGGGAAATTCTACTCCAGGTATGAGAAAAACGGTGTTTGTGTAAAGTCTACATTACATTGTCAACTGTGTCTTCGTGTTGTCTGTGTCCCACAGTATTTATTACGTGTTGAAAAGCGGACTCGCGATATGGTTTAGTGATGGCATCCTAGTGTCTGATTTTCATCCTATTTGGGAAAGAATCAAATTAATTGTTCTCATTAAGAATAAAGGCATCAAAAAAAAAAAAAAGAATAAAGGCATCAAGTATTAAATCTGGGCTTCAGTGCAGACGTTGTTCTCAAGTCCTAATCGCTTACTGAAAACATTCTGGCCCTGAGCAGCCTCGGTGACTAAGCCGAGTGTCGCTAGCTGCCTGGCGGGGTGGGGAGGCGTTTCAGACACGACGGTCTTCAGCGTCGCTGGCCAAGAGCAGGTCTTGTGATCTGTGCATTTTATCCTCACTTGGGAAACTGAGTTTTCAGTTCTACCCGCTGCTAAGCACTTCAGGGTTGAAACCCGGTATGAAACCAGTTAAAACTGCCTTTGGCGATAGCAATTGGATGAGTTATGAATACACTGGGGCTGAGTAATCCTTCCTACGAGTCTTGAAGTTGTGTGCCCCTCTGTAAAAGCAGCCCTGGAAGACTGAGAAGAATTCACTCAGACATGGAGTGAATTTGAAATTGAACCATACGTAGACACTTCTGAGAACACAGCCTGCTTCTCCCTGGGGGAAGGGATGTGAACAGCTAGGTTCTGTTTTCTCTAGCTTAGATTTTATTTGTTTCTCTAATGCTGCAAAATCCTTTGTAGTCAAAGGTAATACTTTAGCATTAGCACAATTTTTTTTTTTCAAGCATCAGCAATAAGTGAAATAGAAAATCATTTTTGGTTTGGACCAACCATCTTCTTTAGTATTTTGTTAACTGTCGGGTTCTTTTAATTCAAATGCAACTCCTCCCTTTCTGGAGACCTCATCCCCATATTTGGCTCTCATGAACCCCTAGGTTATTGGCAGCTGTCAGACCGAGACGCCTGTAGTCCCATAAAAGTAGATCCAGGCAGATCAACAAAGCATGAGCAGCTGACTTGTGGGGTGTTGAAGATCTGATTCTATTCGTACAATTTCCAGTGTTCTCCAGCTTTATCGGGTCTTCTTCTGTTCTCTGTGTGGATACTGGTATCTCAGTACTAGCTAATAAAATCTCATTATGTGGAAAATTTTTTATTTTCATGGGATATAGATGTTGCTGTTTTCAATTTGGTGGTATGTAGGTTGTTGGGGTTTGATGTTATCTCTGGGGATGCTCGTGTTGTCTTTATTTGTTAAGGATAATTCGGCATTTTCAAGAGTTTTCCTGGTGAAGTAAGTTTAGGATAATACTAGGTAATAGGGAAATTACTTTGAGGATCTTTCTGTGCCTTTATTTTTTTTAATGATTTTATTCATTTATTTGAGATAGAGAGAGAGAGAGTGCGAGCAGGAGTAGGGAGTAGAGGCAAAGGGAAAGGGAGAAGCAGGCTCCCCACTGAGCAGGGAGCCTGATGCAGGACTGGATCCCAGGACCCTAAGATCATGAACTGAGCTGAAGGCAATCGCTTAACAGACTGAGCCACCCAGGCGCCCCTTTTCTGAGCCTTTACTATATCAGTGTATACTGTGAAACTGGGCACTGGGACGGGGATATTTTTCGTGTATATACTAAAATGATCTTAAATCTTCCTTCGTTCATGTCTTTGGAATAGTGTTCTGCAGAATGTATTATGGAAAATTGCGGATGGGTTTTCTCAGAGATACACTTGTATATCTTTCTCTGCTTATTCATGTACAAACCAAGAAGGGAGAGCTACTTCCCAAAGCGTAGGAAGGGAGATATTATGGCCAAAATTGTTAGGGAAGCACGGTTTCCTCTGCCTCCCATGTGGTCATCCCTGGGCTGATGTGAGTCATCGGCTCAGCTTTATAAGAACTTGTAGAAACAACAGGTATTAGAGCCCCCACTTCCCAGACGGGGTAGCAGGCAAGGAGAAGGCAGAGACCTTGACCAAGACTGCACAACTAGTAAGCAGCAGAATTGGGATGAAAACTGGCTCAGTCTGACTGTAGCGTGACCTCGGACAGATTACTCTGCTCCAGTGCACATCACATACCGAGGGCCTGGTATAGCATGGACAGAACAGATCATTACTCATATCGCCATCTGATATTTACTCTATCGGGTAGACTGTTTTGCTCTTGCATTTTTTTTCCCCTTAAAAGACTATAAATTACATTTGGGGAGTAACATAACTTACTCTAGAGAGCTAGATTGCCTTTCCTATAACTGGATGGCTTTTCTCTTGACTATCTTGATTTTATTTTGTCCTGTATCTTGTCCTTTTTACCTAAACTTTTGCCTTGGTCGGTGAAGGTACTTTTAGTTGCTTTTAGAAATTTTTACATTTGTTTTCTAATCTTCGAAATACAGTTTTATTTTGAGGACATAACCGGAATTCAGCAGTATGTAAAAAGACTCTGATTTTTAAGTTACAAAAATCGGCAGAAATCAAAGACAGTAAATGGGGGGCAGAACTCAAGAATGTGGCATTTGCCTAGAATGAAAAGTTAAGGGCAAATTTGCATTTTGAACATTTTGGCTGTTTGCGGTGTTTGTTGAAATTTTGCACAATCCAAATAATACTTTGACTTTTATTAAAATTCAAAGAGAATGTAAAACAGACCCATGCTTGAACTGAAATTAGACTTGGGACTTGAGAAAAAGTAAAAACAAAATCCAAACACACAAAAAAAACTTCTGAAAGAAAATGTTTTGGTCCTGGTGTAATGGGTATATTCTTGTAAAACGACCAGAAATTGCTTCTGTCAATACCACTTTTTATTAATTTTGCATCCTGTTTGGTATCCTTGTTAAATGTACCGGGGTATCTCTTAAGAACCTCAGAAAGATACAGCAGCTCCTGCTAGCTGCTTTAAGTTTGTGATGTTGGTCTGTTTTATGCTTTAAAATGCCAGACAGAAGCAATACAATTCAGCCTGCTTACTGGCGTTTAGTGGAATTTATATTTTCATGTTAATATTTATGTAACTTAAACATGGCCCTTTGGTGCATAGACACTGTAGCAAATTCTTTCAGCTAGACCCAGGGCTGGCTCTGAGAATAAGTGTTAGGCGCTAAGACTGTCTTGCCAAAATTGCCCATCCCCCGCTTCTCCTTCCCATCATCATCTGTGAAGTGGCCGTCTAGTACTAGGATATTTAGCGTGCTGGGATGCTGGTAAAAAAACATAAATGTCTACTGGTAAGTCTAAAGTTTCCAAGACACTATCGAATTTTAGAATCTGGTGGTTTCACAGTATGTGCTCTTCAAATCATGCCTCGATGAACCAGGTTGAAGCCTCCATATTAGTCACGCGTGAGACACGTTCTGAAGGTTAATTGCTATTAGAGGGTTAAATCGTGTCACGTGTTTGTCCTGTTCCTCTGTATATCTTGCAGAGGTTAGCAAGTTCCATAGGACAGTGTTTTTCTTTTATAGGTTGCTCAGGAAAGCTTGAGTACTTTTAGACTTCATACACTAAAAGTAACCAAGCCAAGACAAAGAACCAAACCAAACAAGAAGAAAACCATAATCTTGGTGTTAACCTTGAGGTTCTCGGCACTGCTTCAGGGGGTCACCAGCCGAAGAAGCAAAGGAAAGTTCTGCACTCTTTCTCTGATGCTGGCAGAGAATGTGAGGGCTGCAGAAATTACCCTAGTTCTCTTCCGTTCTCTCAGGGCCTTTTAAAATTAAACCAGGAATTTGAAACCAAGACTATTACATGGCTGTTTCAAGTACCCCCAGGAATCTCCACTGGGAAATTACTATTTGCCTCCTTATAGGAAAGACAGATTTAAAGTTCAGTAGAAACACAATGACTAACCATATTTATTGAGCAAGACAAATGTTTGAATATCTGAAATAAGTGTCAGGTGTAATGTAAATTTTTGCTTTACTCCAGTAAATCAGGAGGAAATTCATCATCCAGTTTGGGTGACATAGTCCCTAGTTCCAGAAAATCTACACCGCCATCATCCGGTAAGTAGGCAATGAGTGCAGAATGGTGCAGTCTGCATTTCATGCTCTCCTCGATCTCCCCTAGTTGTGTGACTCTGCATACAGGATCCCTGTGTGAACCCAAGAAGGGTTAAAAGCGATCAGAAATAAGAGTGCCTACATGGAATAAGAAATAATATGGGGAAGTTTTTTCAGGGCTTTGAAAAAAGGAACAATGTCCATGTGTTCACTGTAAGTTGTTTAGATGACCAAAGTGATGAATGTATTTAATTTTTTATCCCTACACACACACTCCCACCGTGGTACCCAGCACAGCATCATGGGCAGCAAACGGGCAAATGCCCACCATCAGCGACAGAGCAACATGTGTTGTTGGCCTCAATGTTCAGTAAAGGCAGAAGGATAAAAGCTTTCGAAAGGCAAGGAAAGGAGAATAAAGTTATGATGGAGTGATTGACCTTACATGAGCTTTACCCCAAAGACTCTGTGGAAGATGTAGGAGATGAGTAGAAGTATTGAAAAGAGACAGAAACACTTGTGGGAAGAGTAACTCCTGTTTTCTCTCCAAGGCAGTGGAGAAGGATACCAAGTTAAAATTGAATTTCAGATGAATGAATAATTTTTTTCGTGTATTATATGAGAAATACTTATAGTTAAAAAAAAATTTCTCTGAAACTGAAATTTGACTGTATTTTTCTTTGTGAAATCTGGCAACTCCACCATTCTGGAGTTGTGTATAAATTGAAGACTAATTGGTAGAATTGCAGAAAGCCCATAATCATCCGAATCTTAGTTTGCTAAGAGATACAGTTGAGTCAGAGTAAGATTGCAAGGACTCGCCAGCAGAGTATTTTGAGCGAAATGATTCCTTGTGTGATTTCGAGGAAGCTGGAGTGTTCATCTGTGGACAAGTTAGGGAAGTGCTTGCCCTCTAACTGGCCTGTCTTAAGAACAGGCTTCCCCTGTTACTCCTGATCACGCCTCATTCCTGAACATTGGTGGCTTTTAGAGGCCAATCAAAGCCTTCTTAATAAACATGACAGAACTTTTTTTTTTCTTAAAGATTTTATTTATTTATTTGACAGACAGAGATCACAAGTAGCAGAGAGGCAGGCAGAACAGAGAGGAGGAAGCAGGCTCCCCACGGAGCAGAGAGCCCGATGTGGGGCTCGATCCCAGAACCCTGGGATCACGACCTGAGCCAAAGGCAGAGGCTTTAACCCACTGAGCCACCCAGGCGCTCCATGACAGAACTTTTTAAGTGCAAAATCTGAGCACTTAAATAAGAAATGAATCGTTTTAGGATGCGTATTGATTTCAAATACCATGTACGTACAACTTGCAGTAATTCTGAGTTTCCCCGAATCAAGTGAAATAGTATGTTTGAAATGAAAATTGAAACCCATTTAGGGATTGTGTGAGGCTTCTGTCTTCCCTCCGTCGGTGGAGCAGAGCTGTTTGCTGAATGCACAGGGCAAAGGGAAGCTTATCTCCGCTCCTTCTCACGCATGTAAAATTACAGAGATGATGGTAGAAAGTTGTACACTTCGTATATATCTTCAAAGCTGTCTCAGAGACTCCAGAGGACGGTCACCAGGGTCCTGAAATGGGGAAATATCACATCCTATGGTGATACTACACAGCCCGGGCCGCAGAGATCAGCGGTACTCCTGTAGACCAGGAAAAGGCTCCCATTTCCTTCAGCCATACCATAGCCTTCTAATGCTTTTGGAAATAGAAGAACAGGCCACATGCGCTTTGAAGAGTAACTTAGTGTGCTTGTAAAATAACATTCTGCTTTTGAAGACAGATGTTTGCCATTACTAAAACTATTGGCTACGATAACTTGATGCAAGTTTTATACAGATACAGGACTTGAGAATAACTTTTCTGAATACCAAGAACAGAAAACACACGTGACTTAATGGACTGGAGACATTTGCCAACTATGAATTTATAGCCGGCATATCCGGAACCTGCTGTCATTTTCATATCAATGCCAGAACTTCTCTAAAGGAAAACTTTAGAGAATTTCTACAGAGAAGATCCCCCCCCCCTACCTCCAGGGTAAACCACCTAACCTATCTGTGTTGATTGGCCTCCAGTCCCTCACTTTCCCCTGTTATCTCCCAGAGGCCTTACCTACAATTCACCTGATCCACTGCTAAACTGAAGACTACAAGCGTTGGCCTAAAGGAAATATACTTGGAGTTTCTCAAGGATTGGGAAAAGGAAAAATTTCCACTTCCCATCTGGGTAATGGGGTGATCGCCAATTACACAACACGTACCCCATGCCTACATGTGCATGCCTTCACGGGTCACCCCAACACCCCCCTCGACTGGACCCAGTATCTAAGATGAAGTTACCAATTAGAGTTCAAAAAATGTTGTCAAGGCTCTCCACCAAAAAAACAAAACAAAACACAAAACATAGAACAGTCATTCTGTTGTGGACCAATAGAGGAAACCATTTTCTTATTTATGGAAGTAGTTTTTCCCAAGTAAATACAAATGTTTGCTAAGGTCCGCAGACTCAAAGGGGCAACCGTCTGAGTCCGATAAAGTCCATGGAGCCATGAAAAGAGTTGAACATGCTTCTTAACTGTCTTAGTAAATTCCTTTAATGTGTTTTGTAAGTGGCCAAATGCTTTAGAATTCTCTGTGTTTTGGAATGAACCCATGCTTTTAAATTTATGTTAACCAACAGACAGAACTAATAAATTGGAAAGTTCTCAATTTGAGATTTTGGAGCCCTTGGGTCCAAATATAGGTAAATTTCAAACCTGTCTCGGGCTCTGAGGCTATGTGTGGGTCGCCAAACATCTGGGCAGTATTACAGCTAAGCTTTTTATGGATTTCCACTCTTACTATAACACTTTTTTTTTTTTTAAATCCACCCACTGATCACAGCACACCAGACTAAAGGACCAAATTGTAAAATCTAATGCATGAACTTTGCTGATGCCCTGTCAACTTGGGAGAGGCTTGTGGGTATCCTCAGTTTCAGAAATGCTCTCAGGAGTACTGTCCCTTGAAGGTGGCCTTTATAAGCCCAAGAAAAGACGAGAAAGGGAAAAGTAGATGGGAAGTTAACACCAGAAGGGAAACTTACCTGATGTTGGTTAAGGTCTAACCTCAGAGAGAGTGAAAAACACCCAGATCCTCTCCATTGTAGCCAGGAAGACACTAACACGCTTCCTAAGTCAGGATTCAGTAGGAAGAACATTAGAGCGTTGGATAAAAGTCAGCATCAAGTTAGAGTGTTTCTGTCACACACGAGGTGCTGAACCTGTCAGCACATCAGCGTTGTGTGGGTGATACAAAGACAAAAGTCTTGTTTACTAGGTAAGTCTAACTAACTAGCTGGAATTAACTCAGTCTGTGAGTCCTTTCCCTGGAGAGCGAATCCTATGGGCTCGTTCTGTGAGCAGTTGTCAATACGAGCAGCGTTGTGCAAGTGCCAGGGAATCACTCCATCACACACCTTCGACCTCCTCAGATGAATCAAAAGAACAATGAAGCAAGAGATCTTAGTTTCCAAAAGGCTGAGTCACCTCATATCCGTAACAACCTCAAAATTGAAAAATAATGTGATGCCTGTCAGGTGATCTGCTCCCCATCGAAGAAGTTAGCAGCGGGCGCCCGTGTGAACTAGCATGTTCCTTGTGGGGCGCAGGGATGGGAGCTGCTCAGTGACCCCCAATGGTTATTTCCGGGTGGTAATTTGTTCCTTATCAGAATGTACTGTGGTATTTGTTAGAGTAGATTTTCTTCTCTGTGACCTCAGCTAAACCACAGCGTAATTTTCTCCTAAGCTCCACTCTGCGGTCCCTTCCTGAATCCTGGCAGTGAGGCCGTGACACACACACACCCCCACCCACTCCACTCACCCCCCCCCCCGCCCCGCCTTGGCTGAGGGAAGGAAGGGGCTGAGGATGGAAGGCTGCCTGGATGGGGAGCGCTCACCTGCGGGGGCAGCAAGGTGCGGGGACAGGGGCTCGAAGACGCCGAGCCTAGCTTCCGAGTCCTGGCTCTGCAGAGGTTTTTGCCAACAATAAGTCCCTGAAACTCTTGAATTCTCATTTCACTCTTAAAAATAAGAGGGTTGAAAGTGATCCTCAAAATACTCTCCAGCTCTGATTCTGCAGCGGATAAAACTCTGTAGTAATTGCTGGTAGAAATATTTCATAAACCTGGAAATGAGAGTATGGCTTTTTTTTTTTTTTTTGCATTTAACAGTTCATCATTAAGCACTCCAGTTTTCAAGACAAAAGATTTCAAAAGTGAAAGCATGTTGAACCACAGACCTAAACCTCTCGTTCTCCAGACAAGGAGGCGTGTGCCATTTTCTCTGGGGTCTTCGTGCCCTCCCACTCTGCCTCTCAGGTTTAATGCATTTATATAAGGCTTCGTATCGATCAGTGGAAGTCCCCTTATTATGTCATTTTTATTAGACTCGTTTCATTTGGAGATCGGGGAGGGGGGTCCAGAGGTTTCTATCTAGTTTCCAGTCAGCCCGCCGGAGGGGGTCCGTACCATCTCGAAATCATTTCAGTCCTGCCCATCCCGGAAGCCTCCCTGTACCCATGTGCCTCATGTAGCCCCGAATTGGGGATTTTTCTATTCTTGCTTCCCCTCACATGCCTGTTGTGGTTTTAGTGATGCTTTCCACCTTGCCCTTATTATTTTTTTTCCACACAAAACCAAGCAAAATAAGGAGTGGGAGGCAGCGCCTGGTAACGGTTTGCAGTGCAGTTGCTTACGATCGAAAAGCTGAAGATACCGTGAGACGTGAAGCCAGATGTTCTGTGCCATGGTCACACACGGTCGACGTGGAGAACTGTCAGTACTCTGTTTGGAACTACAGAGTGTTGCTCTAAAAATACCAGTCAAGAGATCTAGCATAAAACTCACGTGCTCGAGCCAACGGATCTCGTGAGGGGCTCTTGTGGTTTTGTTAGGTTTGATTGCATTGCCTTCTTAACGTGCCTGACCCTTTGAATTTTACTTTGTTGACCATGCAGAGCACTCACAATAGATCTTATACTACGGTTCGTTTTATTTGCTTTCGTTTTATTTTCTTTTTTTTTTTTTTATATAACCTGTTTTTCCTCTCCTGTCTCCCTGATGATTTTTGAATTGTTTGTCTGTATATAGCTATAGACATAGATGCTACTGGCTTAGATGCAGAAGGAAATGATATTCAAGCCAACCATCGCTCCCCTAAACCCAGTGCAAACAGTGTAACGTCACCCCACTCCAAAGAGAAAAGAATGCCCTTCTTTAAGAAGGTAACATTAACTTCCAAGCTCCCATCTGTCCACCTGCTCACCTGCACTGCGTCACATTTCTAGTCCTGTTGACTGTCTGCGTCCTTTCGAGAAGCCAATAACGTGCATGCTGTGTTATTCTTTGTTTCTTTTCCATGCTGCTGTAGCTAAGCAGAAGCAGAAATCGGTAAGTTGACGTTGACATAAGGTGTGTTTATCCTGCCACTGGCATCATTAGCATTAAGCCCCACAGTTTGGGTAAAACACGGTCATTTCTGTCCTCAGAAAAGAACCTGTCAAACAGCTAATGAAGTCCATGCATTTCAAACGGACGAAATTCAGCGAGTGACCTGTTAAGGCACTATTACAGTACTTATCCTTTTTGATGGAATAATATCTTACCACCGAGGGACTTTGGTTCAACATCTCCCAGATGTCAAACACTGACGACTTAACATGATGCACCTTTATTGTGCATGCTTATTCTGTCTGTCTTTGTCTCTTTCTTTTTTTTCCAGAAATTTAACTTCTATGAAGCATAGTAAAACCATTATTAGAATCTGATTTGTGATATCCAGATACATAGCTTGTACTAAAAAAAAAAAAAAAGTATTCAATTTTTAATTTAGTCAGTATTTAAACTTCTAATCCACTAGGTGCAAAATCTGCAGATGAACAAGACCAGTGGAAAACTGCAGGCTTGTTTTGGCGGTTTACTGTGAGTTTTTCCTATTGTCATCTATAAATACTCTCCCCATGTTCTGCCTCCTCCGTCACAGTCAGGTCGCAGGATCTCACCTGTCGGATGACGGGGCAGTGGCCGTGCGTAGGTCGCCTTTGCCGCTGGCCGGCCAAGATGCTACACGGTGATGTTCCTCGTCCCCTGACTGGAAACCAAGGGTGTTCCTGAGCTCTCTTGACTCCAGACCTAGTCTGTTTCCTTTCACCCATTTTGTAGCTTGAAAGCATTATTTTTTAAGGACATTCCTCACCCTCGCCCCACACAAACAATTTCCATTTCTTCGTTTTTGCACGCCACTTTGCAGAGCCAATTGGACTGTCTTTTGGAATCCTCCTTCCTCCCGTGGCTGTGTCCTGCACAATCATGGGCAGCCACATCGTGACACGGGTGGGGAGGAAAGCCTCCTCTGCCTCAAACTCTGTGTCCTCGTCTTTTTTCCCCTGCACACAAGCATTTTGCCACATGGAGGAACTCTAAAACCAGCCACGAGGTGTCAGAGACTGAACTGGGAAGTTTGTTGTTTTTGTTTTTTAATAAATGATGGTTACTTTTATAACGCAAGAGATAGGCCCTCCAAAAATTAAAACCTGGATTTTTTTGTGTTAACACAGACAGCCCCAGCTTGGTGCACACCCGCACCCGTGGGCCCCCCCTCCCTCTGGTCCTATCTTCTCGGCGCAGCTCAATCCTGCAACCTTGACTGAGCTCGAGCACTGATGCCTAGAAAATCAGTATCACTCGGACACTCTGGACTTTCCAGAGCGGTGACACGAACCAAAACTATGTCAGTCGAGATGCCTTTTTGGAAGTTTGTGTACCCTTAAATTCCCAGCCTTTAAAAATGTTTATCACGATTTTTCAGCTAAAGATTTGGAACAAAATAAAGTTAGTGGGAAAGAGCAGATAAAAATGATGGTGTCGGTATCCATAGGGCATAAAGTACCAATATTCCATCAAATAAGGTAATTTCTGTAGCTACCCTATTGAATAAGAAGCTGATTGATGACCAGCATGGGTAACGTTTCTCTAGTTGGCAGCCAGAGATCGAAGGAACCAAAGACCTCTAAAATATGGGGCCACGTAATACTTACAGACTCCAAATGAAAATTCTTGGTAGCTGTGCAATTTATATTCCTAATTCCAATAATGGAAAAGGGATTCTTATACTCAATAGCTATAAGGCCTTGGCTTCTAAACATTGTCAGTATGATCCCAGGTGGTATCAATGTCATGGACAAATATGCTTATGATGCCTTCGGCACTGGTATTCATTCTTCTGTTAATGATGATGTGGTGAACTTCAATGTAGAGCTCAAAACCAAAGAGACGACCTGAGATTCACGGATGAGACTGTTTTCCATGTTTTAGGTTGCTTTTAGAGTGGTGCTTGTGGCGTTTGTGCTATTATTGTATTATGTTTGTCTTGTTTGTTTTTTTTCCCCCCTGTTTGAAAATGTATCTTACCTTTCTTGTGTCTATTAAAATTAATTTTGAATACGAGGTAAAATTTGAAGGACTAAAATTGGACCACACAGTCACAGCATTATTTCTGCCCCCTGTAAATATATTTGTCTGCTACCCTGGATGAAATCTCACATGGAAGCTGCTAAAACAAATGCTTTTTAACTCCACCTCTCCACCCCCACCCCCCAACCCCTGGAAGCAAGTTAAATTCAATTGAAGTCAGAAAGTTTGTAATGGATAATTTTAAAAAAAAATTGTTTATTTATTTGAGAGGGAGGGGACGACAGGGGAGTAGGGGGCAGAGGGAGAGAGACTCTCAAGCCGGCTCTACACAGAGCACAGGGCCCCATGCAGGGCTCGAACTCATGACCCTTGAGATCATGACCTGAGCTAAAACCAAGAGTCAGATGCTCAGCACGGAGCCACCCAAGCACCCCTGTAATGGGCAATTTTAAGCAACAGTAAAATGTTCTTGGGCACCAGGCTGTGCAGAAATTACGTTCACACGTTAGTTTTTCAAATGCTTAAGATAGTTTAAAAAATCTTTTTTTGGTCTCTGTGATTCTGAAAATATATTTTTTTAGACACTCCTTATTGCAGAAAGATTCAGATAACAGTGATTTGTTTACCCCCATGTTTAAGGCCTGATCTCTGTCTTCTGCATTCAAAAAAGTCATTTTGGGTCTGTGTAGCATTTTCTGCCGACCAGAAATAGCCAGCTTTAAATTTATCAAACAGATAAGTTGTTACCTGATTTTTTTTTTGAAAAATTTTATTTTATGTGAAGCAGCAAAGCTGAAAACTTTGCAAAGTTTTAGAAATTGGTCCATAATTTAGCTCCTCCCCTTACTCTTCCAAAAGAGAAAGAAAGGCATGAATTAGTTATGTAACAGAGACATTACCTAAACCACTCTAGAGAAGCCTATTAGATGTGCAAGTTGATAATGAAGCTTTTGAGGCCCCTGCAGCATGCTTGACTACGTTATCCCACGTTAACCGCCTTCCTTCCAAGACACACAAACCTTACCTCTTTAAGTTTTCAAGTTCCGAGGTCTAGAAACCAGAAATCCAAAGCCATGTGTCACTAACCCATGATAGTGACCCTAATGACTGTTTAGTGGAACGGGCGTGCCTGTTGACTTAAACTCTCAGAGGAGAGCAGGGATTTTCAAGTATTTTGGTAAGGAATGTTAGAATGTTTTGAAATTAGGTTTTATCCAGGTAAGACAAACATCTAAGATGCAAAGCTAGTAAGACTTTTCTTTTCTCCGTAATTAACCATGTTAGGCCTGATTCTTCAAGCCTTCAGGAAACTCTCAGATGCAGATGAAAAGCAGTATTAACTTCCCATCAGGCCTAAAGCACCTGCTCTGCACGAGGCATGTCTGCTGTCCTTCCAACTAGTTTTTGTTCAAAAAGCAGCACTTCCTGCTTCCTGCTAGGTTAGTAGTCTTTCTTGAGGAGAGCAAGAAAACCATAGACAATTCAGGAACTTGACAACTTTAGGAGAATAAGCCCATCAAGCTTTGATTGGGTTTATCGAGGAAAGAGGCAAGTAAAAGAAAAAAAAAAAAAGTTCTGGAATGCCGGTGCCTCTTATTACACAGTTCAGAAAGAATAATTTATACGTAGAACATTTCAGGTCTCCCCTGCCTTTTAAGCATCTGAAGTCTTCTCATCTCTCTCTGCAGACAGAGCACACTCCTCCTTATGACGTGGTTCCTTCTATGCGACCAGTGGTCTTGGTGGGCCCTTCTCTGAAGGGGTACGAGGTAGGTGTCTGCCCTCTGGAGTGCACTACACTTGACATTCGCATGCTGACTTGCTTTGTGGTTCCGCCTCCCTCTTGAATTTCAAGCTTAAAGAGCTTGCAGCAGCGAGACACGTTATTTTCCAAGCTGTGGTATATACTGCTTCCTGTTTTGTTATGCTTTGTTTTGATGGCTGTTGCTGGGGACCTTTTGCTAAGCTTCAGTTTACTCTGGGGAAATGGTATCAAATGGCGAGCGCCTGAAACCACTTGCGACGTCATCATCATGTACTGTCACTGAAACATCGGGATAAATTTGGGGAACTTCACCTTTTTCATTGTGCTTGTATCAGAACTCAGCCATGGGAGAATGGGGCAGTCTCACATGTGCTCTATCCACATGGGATAAACAGTCTTGGGGATGAAACTGTTTTGTTGTAATTAGTAATATTTTTGCCGTGTCTTAATGTATTGCGTGAAAATTGCAGGTCACGGATATGATGCAGAAAGCGTTGTTTGATTTTTTAAAACACAGATTTGAAGGGCGGTGAGTATTCCCCAAATCCTGGAGTTTGTGGATTTCTTCGTGAAGTTGGCAAAACCCGGGTGGGACAGGGCATGTGATCGCAAGAGAAAACTACCTTCTGCAGTCTGTATGGCGATGGGCAGTGAGTTTCATCCAGTTCTGTCAGATTCAGTAAATACTTGTCGTGTTTGCTCAGTATATCCTCAACCCTGGATAAGCCAGCGCTCTCTTCCTGCACCTGTGTCTAAGCTGAACTTGGCCACATTCCTGTTGACCTGTCTCACCCTAAATTCATGATTACTTGGCTCTTAGGGCTGCCCAGCAATAATACTCAATATCTCTCTTCTGTTCACTTTTCTACTCTTCAAGACTTCCATACCATCTCCTCCCTCAGCAGTCCCCCAAACTCCTTCTCATCCCTCTTGCCGATGAACGTGCTTCCTCTTTCACAGAGACAATAGAGGTAAACAAATGGAGGAGAACTTCCAAGAATTCTCCCCACCACATTGAGCCCGGCTTCAGTGTTTGCCTGAGTGTCCTGCTTTTTTCCCTTTCACTGTGTTCCTAGCAATGGCCAACCCACCCACTTGGGCTCTAGATCCCATTCCCCATCCTGACACAGCTATAGAATCCTTTCCTTTCTCATCACTGCTTCTCATCAGCATCAAAGCATGTGGTTATTTCTCCTTCGATGGAAGTTTGAACCATATTCCCCTCCAGCTAGCCCATTTTTCTCCTTTTCTTTACAGCAAATCTCCTTCAACACATAGTACATCCTTGTTCTCCTCTCACACTGAAATGTACTCCAGTTAACGCATCCGTCACTCAACCAAAACTCGCCATGTCCGATCATCAGTGACCTTCACGTTGCTAAATCCAGGGATGAAGCCTCAGTGCTCCTGTTAATTGGCGTGTTGGACAGCTTCTTCCTCTTTTAACTACTTTATGTGCTTGCTTTCTGCAAGCACACTTTTCTGGGTTTTCTCTTACCTCACTTTGTCTCCTTTTTCTCCTTGGCTGGTTCTTCCTTATCGACTAGACACCTTGGAGCACCCAGGACCAAGTCCTTTGGTCTTCTCTCTTCTGGTTGCATTCATTCTGCGAGAGATTTCATTTGATGTGTGACTTGTAAATAGCATTCCTTCGCGGGTCCGTCCTCTGAATTCCAGATCCTTGTACCCAACTGCCTGTTCAGTATCACCACTGAGATGTTGAATGGCCTTCTCAGACAGAACCTCCCAGCTCCCCTCCGAACCTGCTCCTCTCCTAGTAGCCCATGCCTCATGTACACCTGCTTCATCTTTCAGACCCAAGACCCATCCACTCCAAATCACGGAGTCATTCTTGACTGCCCTTTTTCTCTTATATCCCACATCCAGCTGCCATTGTGTGTTTCTTCAAAATATATCAAGAACCAAACGACTTATCATATATCCTCTGCTATCCTTTTGGCCTAAGACACCAGCACCTCTTCCTGGATCACGTCATGAATAGCCTCGTAACTTGTATCTTTGCTTCCATCCTCGCTTCCTTGATCTCTCGTCTCAATTCTGCAGGCTGCACAACTCTGTTAAACTGTGAGTGCGTCTCATCCCCGCTTTGTTCAGATCCAACCAGTGACTTCTCTTTTTACTCAGCATAAAAATTGAAGTCCCTACGGTAGCCTTTAAGAACCTTTCCGGTCAGACCATCCACACTCCCCCACCCCCTCCTTACTTCCGACTTCATCTCTTACACTCTCCCGCTTGCTCATTCTGTTCCTGCCACACTGACTTCCTAGTGGTTCCATGAGTGTTCCAAACAGCCTGGTATATGCCCACCTCAGGGCCTTTGCATTTGCAGCTCCCTGTGAGAGGAAGACGTTTCCCTGTCCTTGGTGTAGGTGCACACAAATACACACTACACACACACACACACACACTCTCTCTCTCTCTCTCCCGTCCTTGACTTTTTCCATAACTCTTTTATATATTCTATTAATGAACTTTGTTGTCATTCTCCCACAGTCAGAAGGTAAACTCCATGAGGGCAGATTTTTTTGCATTTTTTTTCTATCTGCTGTGTGAACTCTTGCGTTCTCAATGCCTGGAACTGTGCTCAGTGGGAACAGTACGTGGGTGAGGCTGAATGAACGTCTCCCATGTGCACCTCCAGCTAAAGAAATGGAGAGATGGGGAAGCCACTCACTGTCTTTGTGGACCTCAGGTGTCAGCCATCAATGGAAACCTTGAGCGGTAAACTACAAAGTAAAGGAATGGGCAGCTCAGCCCCTGTGTGTCCAAGGTGCACGTGGCGTAAAGGGAGGAAGGACGGACACTGATAGGGATGTTACCATCTAAGAAAGGTAGCTAAGATTTCACTCACTTGAATTAGAAAGAGAAAGGTTGGGCCAGTGGAAGGTGTTAAGTGGGTTAAGGAATCAGGGTGTGACACCGCGTCATGTGGAAGGCAAGCTCCTTAGAGTTCCTCAAGGCAAGTCTCTAGACAAGGATCGACTGGTGAGAGAGCCAGGGCTGTATCTCGTGTGCCATGTTCATCGGCTTGGACGTATTCCTTTTCTTCTCTTCCCCTCCCCCTTCAACTTGCTTCAGCAAATTTTATTGAGCGGACTCTGTGTGCAGGGCATTGTGAAGAAAAAAGTCAGGCAAGGGTCTTGGCTTCATGGAGCTTACTTCTAGTTAATTGGAAAGAAGCTTTAAGTCAGAGAATCTGGGGACACTGTGGTCAAAGTTGAGCCAGTTCCTGAAGCATCAAAGCTATGATAGGAGTCTAAAATGGAAACTTCGAAATTTAAGCAAAGGGTAGCATACAGGACTAGTTTATATGTCTGTAGTTTTTTAAAGGTTATATATATTTATTTGAGAGGGAGTGTGCACACAAGCAGGGGGAGGAGTTGAGGGGAAGGAGAGGCACAAGCAGACTTCCCACTGCATAGGAAGCCTGAGGCGGGGCTCAATTCCAGGACCCTGAAATCATGACCTGAGCCAAAGGCAGACACTTAACTGACTGAGCCACCCAGGCATCCCTATATTTCTGTATTTTTAATAAGACACATTTGGTGTCTCTACTCTACATTCCTGTCCTTCTCACATCCTAAGGATAGAAGTACAATACATAGTATCTGTGGGTTTCAGTGTTCTTTTAAATGTCTAAGTATACTGCTTTTTTCCTTGACCACACCTGCTCTTACAGCCATTTGTAATTTATATCAACTTTTAGTGGGGGAGCCAAGGCCACATGGGGAAACCTACAGCAGGACAAGGAAAGGACTGAAAGAGACAGAAAACAGAAGCAGAAATTATGTTTCCAGGTGTAAAAAAGACTATATAAACAAGGCCCACATAATCAAATGTTCCTAATTTGACTTTTTTTTTCCATAATTTTATGAAGTATGTTTTGTGCCAGCAAAACACAGGGTTTGGCTTAGTCCAAGGCTGTCTGGCACTGGCCACGTGAAAAAGACATACCCTGATCAGGCTCATTTACCATTCAGTTCTTTATGCTTGACTCTGTCATTTATCCTAATTTGGGGTTGTCGCCTTGAGCATACACACCCAGAAAATTACTAGACAAAGCACTGTGCTTTCCCTGAGTTAACCCACTGCGCTTTCCAAAATGCCAAAGATGGAAAAATGAGATGGCATTTCCTTACTGTTTAAACCTAGTTAAGTTCTGAATTTGGAAGACCGATTCCAGCCATAGGACATGTCTTGGACCCCTGTTTGAAAGTGTTGGCCCATCCAGATTGATTTCATTTAAGAAACAAATGAACAAAATATCTGAATGTTGTCAGTCTGCTCTTTCTGGCCAGAAGTAATTTCCACAGCTTTATTAATGCACCTGCCTTGGCTCATTTGACTCAGAGCTCAAGTTCAGCATTCTAGGCTTGAGAGCACCAATTAAAGATCCTCAAAGGAATTAATAGGGCCCATAAGATACACTTAAAAAATCCATGCAAAAAATTGTTAACCCACGGCAAGACATCCAGAGTACCTGAATCATTAAATGGTTCTGGCAGCAGTAGGGGGAGGAAACTGATCCAAAGTATCAGGTACTTCCATATACATGTAATTTTAAAAGGGAGAAATGAATTACTCCTTTATTATCTATTAAATAAACTAAATTTATTTTTAAAAATTTAAAGCCCAAGGGGAAGAAAATATGAAAGGAAGTGTTGGTGATAAAAAGATTCTTGATGGGAGTTCTTTTCTGTTCCTAAACCTAGTTAAGTTCATTTGTTGAAGCCCTGGGGAGTTGTCAGAATCATGATCCTGGCTGTCAGATCAAGGAATAGATGATAAATCATTATCATCTTTCTCTTGTGTGCAGTAGAGTAGCCTGTTTACAATCAGACCCATCCTAACCAGCTGTGTCATGTAAACAAAGCAACCTTCACATTCCCCTTGTAGGACACTGACAGGTAAATTAACAAGGAAATTGAGAATGAGAGGGAAAGATACCACCAGTGATGAATTCGGTTTCCTCCCCAGAGACTGAAAATGTCAGCTATCAGCACTAAAGTGTCTGGAATGGGAAACGGAATTGTAGGGATATGTACACTGCTGAATCTTCTGTGAGGGAATCTTATTGGAAATCAATAATCCTGGGTAACATTACATCACTTTATTTTGTTGTGTAGATAATTCGCTTAGATGTGAGACAACCTCTAAACTGGTGGTTATCTAGCCTGGCTGCACATTAGAATCATCAGCAATACTTTAAAAATAAAACACCAGCCCAACAACAAGGGCTTGGGTTCCACCTGTGACCAGCTGAAACCACATCTCCAAGGCAGGATCTCCTGAAACTGTAAAAGCTGATACGGCGATCTTGATACATACTGTGAGGGTTAAGAACCACTACTCTAGGGGCACCTGGGTGGCTCAGTGGGTTAAAGCCTCTGCCTTCAGCTCAGGTCATGATATCCCAGGGTCCTGGGATGGAGCCCTGCATCAGGCTTTCTGCTCAGCAGGGAGTCTGCTTCCCCCCCCCTCCCCCGCCTGCCTGCCTGCCTACTTGTGATCTCTTTCTCTGTCAAATAAATAAATAAAATCTTAAAAAAAACAACAACAAAAACCCACTACTCTAAACTGTACTGTCCCCAGAATTTTGCCCTTAGGATTATCAAGGTCTCCTTTTTGGCGGAACCCCAAGTAGTGACAATTCCCAGAGCATAACTGTAGGAGTTGAAATAGAATAGTGACCCAACTTTGCACAGCCTACTGAGCTAACGCGAGAAGCAGGTCAGTGGATTCTCAGCTAAGCAGTACCACACACAGAAAGGTCCGAGCATGTGGGAGAAGAAGGATGTATTCAGCTGGCTCCATTTCTTAGTATGTATTATGACTCTCTGGATAATATTCCAATGAGCCGTAGTATACACTATAATGACTCTGTCTTCTGTGTTTTCCTTGAGATAAGTAATATACCTTTCTACGCTTGCTTTACTTCCTCTGTGTTTGGCATTAATTCAGCCCTGAACCCACCAGCTGTCAGAACCTCCTCACGGTATTCTGAAATGCATCCTGTTGTCACTCCTCTTTGTCTTCTCGAACCTCTGGGAGCATTCTGGCCATCTCTGGTCTGGACAGTTTCTGTCTTTGATGGGTGCACATTTGTCATTCCAGGACATCCTTCAACATTATTCTTGATATTCCTTTTGCCTTCCTCTTGGGTTGGAGCCCCTTTTCCTTATATCCATTGATCTGGGGCTTTACCCTGTCCTTTCCGTTAACAGCATTCTCTGGTAGTTGCCCTAGAAAAGTATATAACTTTTTGAGGCTCTGAATGTCTGAAAGTGTCTTTCATCAACCCTCCCATTTCACTGACAGTTAAAATGGCTACAGAATTTATTTTTTAAGATTTTATTGATTGATTCATTCTTTCATTCATTTGACAGAGACCAGAAGTAGGCAGAGAGGCAGGCAGAGAGAGAGAAGCAGGCTCCCTGCTGAGCAGGGAGGCCCCTTGGGCTTCATCCCAAGACAGAGATCATGACCTGAGTTGAAGGCAGACATTTAACCATCTGAGCTCCCTCTGCCCCCTAATGGCTATAGAATTTTGATTGAAATAATTTCCCTTTAGGATTTTTAAAACTTTCTGCCCCATTCTCTTCTGGCTTCCAATGTTGAGAAGAACAGAAGACTTCCATTTCAGACCCTCCGTGTGGGACCTGGATTTTTTTTTTTTTTTTTTCCAGTTTCTCTGCTTTCGTTATTCTCTTTTTTCCTGAAGTTCTTGTGTTATTTGGAAGTTGAACCTCCTGGGTGGTTCTCTCATTTGTATACCTTTTCTTCTGTGTTCTCTATCTTTGCCTTGTTTTACCCTTTAGAGTTTCTTAACTTTACCCCCCAGCTCTCTTTTGAATTTTTCTGTCATTTTCGGTTGCCAAAAACTCATTCTGAGTTTCTAAATAGAAATTTGTTACAGTTTCACAGATACAATAATGTCTTAGCTTTCAACTTGAAATACAGTTGACCCTTGAACAACAGGGCTTTGAACTGTGTGGCTCCTCTTCTAGGAGGGTTTTTGTTTTTTTTTTTTCCAATAAATATATAAGAAAATTTGGGGGAGGATTGTAACAATCTGAAAAACCTTGCCAGTGAACCACCTAGAAAACTGGAAAATTTAAGAACAACTTAAATATTGTTGTAAGAATACAGTGTATAGCATATGTAAGATACAGAATATGTGTTAATAGACTGTTTAGGTGATAGGTAAGGCTTCCAGTCAACAGTGGGCTGCTAGCAGTCAAGCCCAAAGCTCATGGTGGATTTTGACTACACAGGAAGTCCGTGCCTCTAACCCGCACGTTGTTGCAGGAGTCAGCTGTATTCTTCATTTATTGATTTTTCTGTCTGGGCTCTCATTTCAGAGGTTTTCCTAAGATGCTCAGTGAACACCACAGTGCTCCAATTTAAAAATGGGACATCACGTAATCACTTGGAAATTCTATACTCGTAGGTGAAGCTTGTCAGCTTGGTGCTTCCCTATAGAACAACCTCACCAGGCCATGTCCATAGGAAACCTCCAGGGTTACTATTTTGTAGTCTTCTTCCTTTTGGCCTTTTCCCTCAGATCAGATGTCCCAGGGAAAGAGCTTCCTTTTTTTTTTTTTTTTTTTTAAAGATTTTATTTATTTGACAGACAGAGATCACAAGCAGGCAGAGAGAGAGGAGGAAGCAGGCTCCCGTCTGAGCAGAGAGCCCGATGTGGGGCTCGATCCCAGGACCCTGGGATCATGACTTGAGCCAAAGGCAGAGGCTTTAACCCACTGAGCCATCCAGGTGCCCCAAGAGCTTCCATTTTAATCCCTGGAGGATGTAAGCCTGGCTTTCAAAATTGTAAGATGGGCAAGAGGCTGAGGGCTCCCCGTTTAGAATCCTTTCTTTTCCATCTAGTGGCCCTGTCCTCACTCTGCGTAGGGTCTCCTGGTCATGGGCCCTGCATGTGATTACCTGTAGAGAATAACTATCGAGCATCCCCTGGCAACTTCATGGAATTAGAGGGGAGGTGGAGGGCTCTAATTCGGAAACAGACTTTTCACCAAACCTTTAGTATCCCTTTTACCATTGCCTTCAAAGGTATTGTGAGGCTTCTATTTTACCCCCCAGCTTTTCCTATTGTATATTTGGCTCTCTGTGGTCTCTAAGCCACTTTACTGGTAACAGTAAATGCTCTCATTTCTACCACACCTAAAATGCACCCCCCCCCACAATACCTTACCACCTGACACAATACCCTGTCTTCTCCACAGCAGCCATCTTGAGCTTTAGTGATTTTACCAGATAGTGTTCTTATCTGTTGCCCATCTCTTCCACTAGACTCTTCTCTCTCTGAGGGAAGACTGTGTTTGCCTTGTTCTTATTCATTCTTTGTGCCTATCACAGCACCACACTCCCAACGCAGGGGCTAAGAATACAGGTTTTCAGGAGCCTGGGTTCAAGCCCCAGCTCCCCCTTTTAGACGTAGACAGCCTTGGATGAATATTTGGCTCATTTTCTTCATCAGCAAAAGTGGGACTATAAGAAGCCTCTCTGCTAGTGTTGGGGGGATAATTCAGTGAGATATACAGTGCTTAGTACTTGGTAAGCAAACGATAAATGCCGAGTAAGGAGGTGCGGGATAAGCAGAAATGAAGGATTTGGTGCCCTAACATCTTTTCATTTGAAAATACTGTTCACTATGCATTTCAAACTTAAGTGAGTTTGGGGAATGTATTTCTATCCCCTGGTATTCGGCTAATAACCTCAGAGTCTTCTGTTACGTGTTCCTCCAACAGGATATCCATCACAAGGGTCACGGCTGACATCTCACTCGCCAAGCGCTCCGTGTTAAACAATCCCAGCAAGCATGCAATAATAGAAAGATCCAATACAAGGTCAAGCTTAGGTAAGTCTGTGCACTACACCTGGGCTTAGGCTATTTAAACATTTCTCTCCTGAGGCTGCCAATGAGAAGATCTGACTAGATGGTAATTCCATGTGTCACAGAGCAGAGAAGAAATGGACCCACGTTGCCAGTGGCTACTGCTACAGTCTTAGTGATCTCATGCTATGGAAAGATTTGTTATGATAGTTTCAAGTTAAATATTCCACTGGCTGTCAGGATTAATGTTTTGGTTGTGGTGTTCTTTCGTGTTTTTTTGTGTTTGTTTTTTTTTTTTCTCCCCAAAGTGAGCTTTGCTGTCTACAGACTAAAAACTCCTGGCTTTGCATTGGTGTTACCATGAGCAAGTTCATGAACTTCTGTAGTGTCTTGTTTCCTCATCTAGACAACAACAACAACAAAAGAGAGAGAATATTAACTACCCTGTAGAATTACTGTGAGGATTAAACACAGTATGTTCTCAATGAAGGCTGGCTATTATCCAAAGACCCTCAGTAATGGGATTGTAGCAGGGATGACATCATTTTCAGGATAGGGTTTGTAAGGGTTTGGGACAGTGTTGAAATAACAGTGTTGAAATAAAAAACGAGGTCAATTCCTGGCCATTTCTAATTGATGCCAGTATTTTTATTTGTAAAAACAATATAGAGATTTTAGTTAACATATCTACAGGGTTATGTTTGGATACTGATTTTTAACGTCTACTGATTTGTTGAAATGACATCGTTTGCAGCTGTTTCTTCTCTGTGGCATGTGCTTGGAGTCTGAGGTTAATCGCAGTTACACAGTAACTTACTGGGTCGTTAGGTTTCTGTTATTATAATTTTTTTGAGAATTGTTCGAGATCTTTGATCTTAGTTCATTTTTTTCCCATTTATATGTTAAATATGTAAGACCATTGGGAGACTGGTCTGAACAAAACTTTATGTGTTAGTAATGTCTAGAATCTGTCATAAAACTCAGTTTTGTTCCTCACCTAACAAACCCTCCCTGACTACACTTCATTTTGCTTATAGTAACTTCTTCTTCTTATATTCTGTGACCCGCATTTTCAATGTTCACGGAAATTATTAGAAAACGCTCCCTTCAGTGACTCACCTCCTTAACAATGTCAGTTGTTTACACTCGTATGGTACATCAGTGGCATAGATTTGTTTGACTTTCAAGGCCTTTTATAACTACCAGCTATATATTATTTTTAAAGGACTGTTCCACTTCATGTATTTTAGTGAGCATATACTAGACACCGACTGTCTGGGAGTACAAAGATGAATTAGATGAAGGCACTGCCCCCAAGGAGCTGGGTGTAGCAGTAAGGCAGAGAAGTTAAGGACCCATTGGAGTAGAAGGTGGTGAGCACAGTGGGCGTGCATGGAACTGGTTGCCAGAGAGGGTGCAGGCCCCTGAGGAAGGTTTTTGCAAGGAGCTAAGCCTGAGCTGTCTTGCAGCCCCACAGGGTTTAGGCAAGACAAAAGGGAAAGAGGTAGAGAGGGCGAAAGGCACTTAAAACCGAGCAACAAGAGGCTTCTAGAAAATATAGTTTCTTTACCTGAGCTGTGAGTGTATGGTTTAAACCAGAGGGTGAAGGCAGATGACGCCAGAGGCAGAGGAGAGATATTAAGGAATTCAGAGCTTATCCTTAAGGCTATTATAGAGCCAAGTATAGATTTTAGGCATGTATTCGTCCATTTAACAAATACTTGAGTACCAGCCATATACTAGGCATGATTGTAAGTGTTGGGGACAGAGAAGTAAAGGACACCACGTCCTCACTCTCATAGTTTTTGTTTCATAGGGAGCACATGGACAAAAGCTAATAAATGTAGATGTAGAGTCAGTGGTTAAGGAATCTGGGAAGAAAAAGCAGGCTAAGGGGTAGAGAGTAAACTGAGAAGAGTGTGATTTTACATGGGGAAGATGGGAGCCTCTTTGAGGAAAAGACGTTGTAGCAGAATGATTTTTTGTGAATTCTTTAGCCTTACCGCTATCTGTGAAAAGACTGTTTTGGGCAGAGGGAACTGAAGGTGCAAAGGCCCTGTGGCAGGAATATGTGTGATACGTTTTAGGGCTAGTGAGGAAGCCAGTGTTAACAGATGTGGAATGACAAGGGGGGGGCAGGAGGTCAGAGAGATTGTGCCTGATCATCTAGAACTTTATAGGGCTTTTATAGTGATTGTGGTAGAGAGGTGTAGGAAAGCAGACCCTATGACACAATAGGACTTGTGTTTTAGAACGATCGCTGACAGCACTGTGAAGAAATGCATGGAAAGGAGAAAGAGCCAAGTCAGGGAAAAAGTCGGACTCTGTTAAAGCAGATTCGGGGAAAAACAATGTACTCTGGGCAGAAACTAATAGAACCAGTGCCTTGAGGAGAATCTCTGTCGCAGTGGGCTGGAGATGGGACAAGAATTGGACAGGGAGGTCATTTCGTAGGCTGATTCCATCCCTCAAGGTAGAGGTTCAGAGAGGACTGAAATAAGACAGTGGCACAGGGAATGAGTAGAATGAAAGGAATCCAGAGATAAGAGAGTCCAGTATTGGCAATCTGGAACATGAAGAAACCAACTCCAACATGATCTCTAAGGTTTTCCTTTCAGGAGTCAGGTCATTGATGGTGTTATTCTGGGGAGAAGGGATTGAGGACGAGGAACTAGAAGGAGTAGAGCGGGCAGGGGGATAAGGAAGATACTGGCTGCATTTGTGCACAAGTTGAATTCGCAGCGTTTTGGCTCACCCAGATACCCAGCAGGCAATCACCGGTATGTACAGACCTGGGACTTGGCACCCAGGACAGGACTTCAGATGCAGTCAGTTCTCAATATTCACAGTAGTTACGTTCTCTAAAGTCTCCGTGAATACTGAACTAGCAAATATGGAGTCTGCTACTAGGGAAACACAGTGCGGAGATTCCTCTGTAAGTATGAGAACTTGTTTTTGTTTTTAAGATTTCATTTATGTATTTGACAGGTCACAAGTCGGCAGAGAGGCAGGCAGAGGGAGAGGAAGCAGGCTCCCTGCTGAGCAGAGAGCCCCATGCGGGGCTGGAGCCCAGGACCCTGGGATCATGACCTGAGCCGAAGGCAGAGGCTTAACACAATGAGTCACTCAGGCACCGCAAGGACTTGTATTTTTTATAGCAGCCCCCGGAAACAGGTCATGATAACAGACAGGAGAATGGTCAGGTGATACCCCTTCTGTGTCAGTAACACGCTGAATAATAAGTTACGCGTGTTTTGTGGACTCCACTATATAGGGAACATCTTTATGATCTAAGTACAAGACTGATACTTGAACTCTCCAGGAATGTATGTATATGTGGGTATGTTATACCTTAAGATTCTTGTACATTTAGTAGAGGTTAAATATGAGAAGATCTACCCCAAATCTAACAAAGGAGATCAGTTTTAGCATTTACATCTTTTAAAAAGGATGAAAGATCCAGTACAGTGAAGATGAATTTGATAGGTAAAAATTTGCTTTGGAAAACTTCTGTTACATAAACAAAAGTAGAGTACGTTGCCTTTGGAGTTCATTTTGCTGATGTACCACTGTATGATAGAAAGGAAAAGAAAACCCTGAAAAATTTGAAGCTTTAAGTACATCTTCTGTACTGTTTGGGGTTGGTATGGGACTTGTCTGCATGGACACGTGGTTTTATTTGTACTCATAAGACTCATTCAAGTTCTAACCTTTTGTCTCCTTTGTAATATTGGTCAAGCATCACAATTTAAGATATCTACATTAGCTATCCCAATGGTAAGGAATGCAAATAAAGAACATGACAGTCTTAGTAATAAAAATATTACTTGAATGTTAATAGTTATGGGGGTGAGTACCCAGTTCATTGCCAATTCCAAGTTCAAACTTTTAAAAACAATATATTTAGATAATGATAGTACTGCTTTCTAAGAGGAGTCACCTTGGAGTTTCTCAAACTGCACAACTTCTTCAGAAGTATGGTTTGGTTTTACCCCAAGCACCTTCCCAGAGACAAATCAATTTAGGCAAATGTGGTACATCCTTGCACATGTTTGTACTCACAGAGATGTGAGTATAGGGCCTCTGTGTACCACATGAGAGCAAAAACCGTGTGCTGAAGGTGGGAAAATATTGAGCAAATATACAAGAGTTAAGGAAGCAAAGGTGGGTTTAGCTGTGCACATGTCAACAGTTGCAGCTGATGGCATGCAGGGAGTAAGGAAAGGCATTCACCTTGTGTGTTAGCAACCCAGGTGGAGAGATCACAGTGTTGCCAACCTGGTAAATATTCTTAACCCAAGTGAAGAGCTAGCTTAGGTCATTTATTTTGTCACTTACTCTGTGATGTAACTGTTCCCTCTGAACTGTTGTGCTGGATGCATGAAGCAACACATATGATAAAATCCCGTGCAGCTCAACAGACATACCTACGGGGAGTACAGGAGAACTGGAGAAATCTGAAGAGGATTGGTGGGTCATAGTAATATTTTGGTTATGATATTGCATGATAGTTTTGCAAGAGGTTTCCATTGGGGAAAACTGGGTAAATGGTACAAGGGCTCTCTGTGTTTTTCTTACAATGCATGTGAATGTATAATTATCTCAATGAAAGTTTCAACTAAGCAGAGTTCATCCCTTGGGTTATAGCACCAGGGACTTTAGAACCGGGATGACAAAGTTGAGAGCGTTCGGTTCCGTGGTTCTTGAAGTGTGTTCTCCAGATGAACAGCGTCAGCATCATGGGCCATTAGTTAGGGATGACTGTTCTAAGACCCCAGCCTGACCTACTGCATCAGAAACTCTAGAGGTGGGGCCCTATAGCCTGTTTGAACAAGCCTGCCACGTGATTCCACTAGCTGGCAAAATGTGAGGACAACCAGCCTTGTTCAGGCCCGTTGCTGTATAGCAAAGAATCTAAGAGCCAGGGGCGCGTGGGTGGCTCAGTTGGTTAAGCAGCTACTTTGGCTCAGGTCAGGATCCCAGGGTCCTAGGATGGAGTCCCATGGCAGGCTCCATGCTCAGCG